TGCCCGTGGACCGAGACCAACGAGTCAAAGCAGCCAACATTGCATTGTGTTCAAATACAAAAAACGACAACGCAAGCAAAGCGTAGATTAATATTTGCACACTCATAAGAAAATCGCCCTGAACTTAACTTAAGTAAATCGCTGCTTTTGGCACTCTATTATTCAGTTTATTTATTTAGTATTATTTCTAAATATTTGGTTGTGGCTTTCTAAAAGCACGGCTTACGGTTTTTAATAACCATTGATATTTTTAGATTTCACAAATATAAACATTTTACATTGCTTCAACTTATCCACTGAACTACTCTGTATCCAAGGCAGACGACAGCTAAACTCTCATACAAAAGCCGAGCCAGTAATTTGTATTACTTGTTTCAGAATTTTGCTAATGATTTTTTCTGAAAATTAGGGTTTGCAATTCTACTTTTAAGAAGTGAATTTTTACAAAGAAATGCAACATGGAAAATACCGATTTATTGCAAGCCTTTGTAGTTAAAAATGTTTGTTTTTTTTTTTAAGTTATTTTAAAAAAAGAGAATTCTTAAGGGATAGCTTAATATTTTCAGTGTTTCTGTGGATTGCCTGAAGCGAGCTGAACAAGATCATCAAGAACATCTAACTCATTAGATAGGTTTATCTTAGTAAAATTGCTTCTCGCACTAAGCTTCATTTAGTTTGATCATGATTTATGTTATAGTAATTGATTCACGTGCCAAAAGACAAAAAGAAACAGTAAAAGCTAAACAACAACAAATATCAGCGAGTCTCATTGTTAGGCATTGGGCGCCACGCCTACTTTGCAGGGGTGCTCCTCTCCATTTTTCATATTTGTGTATCAAGTGAAAGTTATTCGCGTAATTTCCACTTTTGGGTGTTGGTGGTTATCTTTATGTTTAGCCAAATCCGAAGTGTTGCACACTTTTCTCATGATTGTGCTAATCAGCTTTTACCTTATACTCTTTATTTTCAATAGTGCGAATTTGGTTGTCAGCGCGACTTTTGACCGCTTTACATAACCGAAGCAGTGGGAGGAAACCGAGGGGGCTTTTTTTTTGGTGCTTAGAGAGCATGACTAAAACTGTGCGAAAGTTGATTAGTTCCTGTCCCTTGCTGATGTTTGCATTGCAATTAATAACTACTATACTGTTATACCGTCTGTTGTGGTCTTTTGTGGGCGTGGGCGTATTTTTCGTTGGACTCTGACCAAAAGGCGCAAAGCAATAATTGCAGACAAATAACATTTTAGGCTTTCACTTGCAAATTGCGTGCGAAAACATCTGTTAAAAGCTGAACTTAAACGGCATGTTACATGCGGGTAACAGGGGAAAAGCAGCGACATAAGCAGAGAGAGAGAGAGGAAGAGCTAACAGTTCTCGCTAGTTAACAGTCTGACTCCCCACCCCCCATCACATGCAGCTCCCGTTATAAAAAAAAAAACAGAAGCTGATGAAAGGCAAAGAGATAAAACAAGTCGCTGGCTAACAGTGAATTACATTTACTACACACTCATACGTAATTATTTATATGTATGGGTGCACTGTAATTAGCTTTCCAATGCACCCAGGTCTGGTGCAAATGATTTTCATTGAAAATGACGACATAATTGTCGTCAAGCAGTGCGAGCAGAGCAGCAGGCAGTCATCGGCGTCGATCAAAGAAGAACTGATAATGACAACAACAGCGAGAGGTGCCAAATGCAGAAGGGGAGAGAGTGGGAGAGAGAGTGAGAGTACTGACATTGTGTAAGGTGCGCGTTGACTTTGCTCATTTGCTTTTGCTGCTCGCTGCTCGCTGCAACTGCAGAAGTTCTGATTATTTATACAAAGCTCGTAGCTTGTGACGTCAGATCGCTGTTGTTGTGTAATAAAATAAAAGTGAATCTTATTAATTGTCGCACGTATCGAACGCCTATTTTTATGTGCGTTACTTTTGTGCGAGTGTCAACAACAGATTGTGTGATTTATTTGATTTATGACGACAGGTTTAACACTTATAAGTAACGGTATAACCATATGGCATCATTGCTGGAAGTAGGCAGTGCCACAAACACATATACATATAGCAAGCAGAAGCAGAGGCGTTAACAGGACTTAAGTTGCTGTTTTTATTAACATTGGCTTCCTGGCAATTTAACATATGCCACTATCAAATTGGTCTGATTTCAAAGATCAATAAACGAAAACAGTGTAGCATTGTGTGGAACTGCGGTAATAAATTATTAAGTCAATTTTTATGCTTAATTGTTTGTATAAACTGTGTGAAGCAGCTCTCAAAATCTCTGCTCTCGTAGCCCATTCACAAAACCGAAATCGATATTGCACAGAACAAATTAATTAATGAAATTAACATTAATTTAAAAGCAAATCAAAAACAAAAGCGTTGAGTAAATAATATATAATGCAGCACTGTTGTTGACTTTGAGTTTGTTTGGATAATTTCGTTTTATTTTACTTGCCACAATACACATTTGTTTAATTTTATGCCACAAAAAACGTTTTTGTATTTTTCGCCTTAAAGCACATCCAATTAAAATTATTCTTGCTAATACAAAAAAGCTGATTGATTGACTGACTGACTGACTTAATGACTGCCTGAGTGACAAATTTAATGCAAACAAACTAAAATTGCGTGAAATTTGTAAAATGAGCCTTCAAATTAATGCAAGTATTCACAGTGTCAAATGCATTCAATTAATAGCAAAATAATATTGCCACTTTTTAATTTATTTCCTATGCACGCAGCTGTAATAAATTGACAGCATTATTAAATGACGCAACAACATTTCAAGTAGCTTTCAAAAGTACATCAATGAGATGAATATTAATTATTATAAACATTAATGAAGTTGCTATCAGAGAGAGAGACAGAGAGAGAGAGAGAGAGAGAGAGAGAGAGAGAGAGAGAGAGAGAGAGAGAGAGAGAGAGAGAGAGAGAGAGAGAGAGAGAGAGAGAGAGGGAGAGCAGAAAAGAATTGCTAACAAATTCGGTTCACATTAGGTTAGATGATTCCTTCCCTTCAGCTATCCTTCTGCGACTGTATATCGGTTCGGGCTACCGTTTTTCATTCTGTGGATTGGATTAACGTGGCTAGTTTCCTAGGGTAGTTTTCAGAGAGTCCCGATATGTCTGAAAGGAAGGCCGACTTCAGGAATTGAATATTCTACTCAATTGCAATTTCTCTTCTTCATATTATCTTGGCTTACATTAAGTGTGTACATAACTAATATAAAAATAATAAAATGAAAAATTGATTAATCCATGTTTTCTACATATTTTTAACTTAAAAAACACTCGTTTTGTAAGTTCGTCATGTTGTCATGTATTGTTGCAGCAAAACAGAAATACAAAAAGAAATTCCCACACCCCAAAGCAACAATCAACACCTGCTAAATACCAATTAGTCCACAACCAGTGTGTGTGTATTTGTTTGTTCGGTATATATCATTAGCTTACATCTAATGCGCTCTCGATTGCAACACTACATGGGCCTACCACGTGTTGCACAATAAGCGGACGCAGTGAACGATTCCCGGTACAGGTCTGGCCTAAACACCTCAACTAATGGCCCGCTTTTGGCCTGGCCAGCGACTAATGAGCAAGCAGCGAGCAGCGAGCTGTGAGCTCTTTAAAAGGCAGTTCAGAACCCAACATAAAAAAACAACAACAACAACAAATGGCTTGGGTGGTTTTGTGGTGCGGGTGAGTGGGGGCCACTTGAAATGCTTGAGGTGGAGTTTGAATTTGAGTACTCGAGGTTTTTCTTTTGGTTTTTGGCGCGCATTGTTGTTGTCTCCGTGCATAGTTTGGTAACCACAAAGCAACAACAAATACAAAAACGAAATGTGATAAAAAAAAAACTGGCCCCGAAGCTGTTCAGCAATTGTTGGAAGCACGAAATGAAATATGACCGCCGAGCAGAACAATTGAAAAAAAATGCGAGCTGGCTTAAAATTACTTTAAACTGGAGCACGTTGAGTGAATTCTGATTGGATGGCAAATGCAGCAGCAGCAGCAGCAGTAGCTGACCATGAAAAATGCGTTTGATTTTTTTACAATTTTTTTTTTCTCACTTTGAATCGGAAAAATACGTTTCACTTTTGCTCGATGCCAAAGTTGGCAGCTGGCTCTGCTGAGAAAACCGAAAGTTAACAAAGCAACTAGCGCAGCAGAATCGAGAATTGAGAATGGAGAATTGAGTGCACCTAAAGTCGAATCCGAGTCGAATCCGAGTCTAATCAGAGTTGAGTGCGCAGATTCCAACTAGTAATTATGACCGGTTTTCAATTGCACGTTGAATTTAGTTCGAAATCTCTGCTTATGACCAAGTGCCATTTTACAGGGCCAATTGTCTTGGCTCTAATAAATAATCAACTACAAATCTATATCGATATTTTCGATTTTAGTATCATTAATTTAATTAATTATTTATTAATTTAATTATTTATTTTATGACCGGTTTTCAATTACACGTTGAATTTAGTTCGAAATCTCTGCTTATGGCCAAGTGCCATTTTACAGGGCCAATTGTCTTGGCTCTAATAAATAATCAACTATAAATCTATATCGATATTTTCGGGTTTAGTGTTATTCATTTAATTGATTATTTATTATTATTATTTATTAATTTAATTATTTATTTTATGACCGGTTTTCAATTGCACGTTGAATTTAGTTCGAAATCTCTGCTTATGGCCAAGTGCCATTTTACAGGGCCAATTGTCTTGGCTCTAATAAATAATCAACTATAAATCTATATCGATATTTTCGGGTTTAGTGTTATTCATTTAATTGATTATTTATTATTATTATTTATTAATTTAATTATTTATTTTATGACCGGTTTTCAATTGCACGTTGAATTTAGTTCGAAATCTCTGCTTATGACCAAATGACATTCTATAGGTAACTAATCAACTACAAATCTATATCGATATGTTTAATTTATTGTATTTAATATATTATATTTTGTAATATTAAATTTGTATTTTATTACGACTTACCGCTTCGGATACGGTATCCGTCTGTACTTGAAGGCATTTTCCACATCGCGCAGCTTCATTTTGTAGGAACGGTCCGAGTTTGGTGTCATCGAGACAAACTCACACACACGCACACGCACACACACACGCGGACGCACACGCACACGCACACGGACGCACAACAAGATAACAACAACACTGAGAGCAAAGATCAGAAAACAGATCTTGAGGAGCTTGAACGGCTTTTCTAATGCTTCTATTCTGGGGGCACTGCCACAAATTGCAGATACAGTTAAGTGCTGTATTATTTGACCCGGCACCGTCGTACTGAGTATGCTGAGTACTGAGAGAGTTTTGCGTGTGAAGCGCACAACGTTCGCGGCACAACTGAATGTTCCTGCGAGTGCTTGGCCGCCTTTTTGGCCAAGTCCAAACGTTGATCAACGCGTCGCGCCGTCGGCGTCTGCGTTAAGCGCTAGTTACGTTTACGTTTACCGTTTGTTGTTGTTGCTGTTGCTGTTGCTGTTTTACCACCAGCTGCTTTTACCTTTTTCTTTTGCGCACTCATTCGATTGGAGTCAACCTGGCATCTCTTCAGCATTTCGCTCTCTTTTTCTTTTTTTTTCTTTTTCATTTTCTTTTTCGTTGCTACTCAATATTTTGGACGCCACTGTGCAGCAGTTGATGTGTGTATTTTGTTGTTGTTCCCCTGGTCTTTTTTTTTACCAACTGTGGTCTGGCTTCAAATTCCACTTTTTTTTTTTTTGTCTATTTGTGTCGCTAATATTTAAACAAATTGTCAACGCAGCAAAGAGACAACTGCACAAATACATGTGAGAAACAATTGATCTTTGAACAGTTGTTCTTTTTAACTGTATTCGACTTGATTAAGTAATTCGAATCCCCCATTAGCATTTGATGCCGGTCCGAAACCCCATCGTCTATCTTTCTTTTGGGACTATTCGAAAACTGGTTTCGCATTGAACCCACAAATTGACCAAACTTGACCTTTGCGTCTTGGTATTGCTATAGATCTTTACAAGCCATTTATTATCTCAAGATATATTCAAACTGCGCAAAATTTCCTCAGAACGTCCATAAAATTTGAGTAAAAATTTGTAAGTGGAGAGTTCGTTGACCTACCAACGCTTATAGAACTTATATATATATAGAACAGTGTAAACGAGAAATGTGCTTATTACCATATTTTATAAGACAATAGTTAACTAATAGCATGCATCTAAATTTGTTGGCTCTACATTCAACATTCGTAAAGTATGTTGTGATTTTTTTAAATGATTTATCGTATTACGTATCGATATTCTAAGTATGCCAAAGATTAACGAATATTTTAAAATATTTTTATAATTTAATTCATTTATTATAAATGCATGCTGAAAGCTAAATAAAAATAAAATCCCTTTTAGTTTTTGATCTGTTTCTGTCTTACGTTTAAAATAATTGTTTTATAATTCATTTGGGGAAAACAAATTAAAATAAGCCCATCAGCAGTTTTATTTAAATCAAACTGTAATTTTGCCACTCGCAAGTTAACGAAATGTGAATGTACGAAATGTTTGGCATTTGGCATGGAATCTGTTTGTAAGAATACTTGAGGCTTTTTGGGTATTTTGTAAAAAGGCTAAATATGTAAAGTAAAAAACATTGTCTAAGTCATACCAACATAACATTAGAAAATAGAAAATGCAACGTTTGCCTTAGCCAGACCTCGCTGATTACTTTGATTTTATTTCCATATTCGATTTATTTTCGTAAACTTTTTTGAAGTACTGTTTCGCTTAAGGTGCTCTGCTTTTGGACTGGCGTCTGACGGCTGTTGGCCGAAAGTAATGCGTTTTCACATTTGCCTGAGCTGTGATTTTTTAATTAATTATTGTCATTTTTTTTATTACGTCAAGCTACAAAAAAATGATTGTTTATGTTTTTGCAACAAGCTGAAAATTCATGTAAATTTCTCGATAAAAAATTGAAAAAACGCCAGTCAACAAAAAGTGCTTAAAAATAAATAAGCAGATAAAAGAAGCAATAAATTTGTGGCTTGTGCCTCGGCAAGCGTCAAATTAAGCAGCACACAGAGAGAGAGAGAGAGAGAGAGAGAGAGAAAGTGAGTGGAGGGGGAGGGGAAGAGTATGCGAGAGGGAGATGAGTGCATTACATAAACTAGCGGCCTCAATTGAAGTTGATATGCAATAAAAGTCAATAATGAAATTGTCATACGATTGCACACTTGGCACCCAAGTGGAAAATGAATTTGATTCCTCACATTTTCCCCTTGTTCGCTTGAAAAAACCACAATAACCATGTGGTGTCGATAATTCGTGTTGGTGTCGATGACATTTCTTGAACATCTGGATATTGCGAACACTTGTTCAAAACTGCCACCATTTTGTCACTTTATCAGCAGCAACAAGTTTTAACTCGCTGCTTCGTTGTTTTATAACGCTGCTGTTGTTTTTTATTTATAGTTGTTCCTGTCGTAGCAATTGTGCTGAACTCGCAACTCAATTGTAAACAACTTCAATTGGCCCTAGGCGCAGTACAAATACACATTTGGGCCTGTTTGTCGGTTTGGCCACAGTTGCGTGTCAGGTGCGAGGTGTGCCACTAGACTTTAGCAGGCCAGCACCTGACTGACTTCACATTGCTGCTCCCCCTCCCCAATAAAAAAATCATCAAATAAATGTTTCGCTTGCATATAGTTTATGTAATTTGATATTTTTTTAAAAATCAATTTTAGATAAGTTAAATACATATTTTTGTGTTTGCTTGCTTAATTGTTAGACGAATATAAAGAAAGTAAGTTGAATAAATAAATCAGAAAACTATAAAATTTGTGTGGCTATTGAATTTGGCAATTAAATATTCCTAGGAATTTTATACAATTTATTTTATTTACTTATAATAAGCATACATAAATTAAATTACTTTTTTTTTTTTTTTGTGTCGTTTGGCTTTATTAGACATTAAATACATAATTTAATAAAAAAATCTCTGCATAAGCATGACCGAAGACGATCTTGAATCAAGTTATAAATGAATGAAGATCAACTAATATAGCTAAACTTAATTAATTAAATTAGTTGAAGTTGAGCACCAACGAAATATCGATGCAAATTTTAATAAATCTATAGCATAAAGTTCCTTTTCCGACTATCGCTGTATAATTTGTACCTTTATTTTATTTCACATAAAAAGCCAAAAATAATATAATAAAAATAATCCATAAAAAAGATCAATATAAATAAAATAGATGTTTATGTTATGTCTACTCCTTCAAATAGATTAGGTAAAAGATTTAGAAACTATCCATTAAATTTATTTATTCTGTTTAAATTAGAAAACTAATTCAATTGCAGTCAAAATAATTTAGCTCAACTTGAGCTTAGGCGTTTGTAACCAATCCAAAGAACTGCATCTCTGAAGGTATTTCCATCTTAAAGTTAATCGAATTATTGTTGCTCATTCCTTTTCCGACTCTCGCTGTAATATTTTTATTTTTATTTTATTTGATTACCTGGTCTCGCAGATGGGCTTATCAACAGCATTCGGCCTAGTTTTCAGGTGACCAAACAGAGTGGAATATAGTCAGCTGCTGGCGATAAACAGCACCACAGTTGAGCACACAACCAGGACAATTACAACAAAAACAACTATAACAACAACAGCACCCCTGGCAGTTGTTGGTAGGTGTTTGTATGGTGTGGGATAAGCTGGTCGGTTTACGTGTTTACGTGTTGGGTGCAGTTGCAGTACTTTACAGCTGGGCAGGTGCCTCAATTCTAACACCGGCTGGGCTATTGGCTATTAACGCCTGTCACATTTGGTTGCACCATGAACTTGCATCAATTTGAATAAAACACGAGTGTGGTATTTTTAAAATTCTCGTTTTAATGTTTATTTTTTCTTAATTGTCTTGTTTTAAATACTCGTTTCATCTATTTGATTCAGTGCGTCATTATTTCATTATTTTCATATATAATACTATGTTTATATATATTTTATTTATAAATATTTCCTTTTGTTTATCATACAAGTGAAACTTACGTCATAAGACTCAAAACAACGCACAATTTATGAGCACTCCAAATTTGAAAAATAAAAGAAAATAAAAATAAACAAATACTATTTAAGAGCTTGACAGTTTTTTCTTGTATATTGTATATTTCTTGGGCTTTCCATTCTACAACATGCGTTAACTGTACTCAGTTTGACTATTTACACAGCTGCCGTATTTATTTATTATTCCGGCGCAATTGCTTTCTTCAATTTTGTTTTTTTTTTCTTTCGGGTCTACAAATAAATTACATGCAATGTTTTATGTGGCTTCATAATTCAATTTCATGTACGTTTTTTGTTTACTGAATGGAATCTACTTTAAACACAGTTGGCACATCAATTTTTTTCCATAGTTTGTTTGTCATGTATGAGAAGGAACTGAACCGAACTGATGTGAACGTGACGTGAACGTGACGTGATCGTGACTTTAAGTGTGACTTTGACTTTTAGATTGTGATTGTGACAGTGGCAAAACGTGGTAATCATTTTTAGCTACATATACATATGTATGTATTTATGTATGTATGCAATGCACCGTCATATTTTGCATAAAAGTTTGTATGTATTATTCCAATTGCCGGCTGTCGACAGAAATTAGAGTTTGGCCTATGCACCAATTGTTTTTAATTGATTTCTTTTGTAATATTTGTTCTTTAGATTTCCTTTTCTTTTTATACATATGTAAAATATGTATAATATCCATATATATATTTTTTGTTGTTGTTTTGTTTTGTATTATTTATGTGTGACAAAATAATATTTCGTTCATAAAATTGTACAAAGTGCGCATTCTGGCTATAAATACATGTATTGTTTATATACTATCAAAAATGCAACTAAAACATCGATTTTATATCTATTCGCTTTGCCTTTTTACAGTATTATATTTCATGTGCATTCACTATTGCTCAAAGGTAAAACTTTAATTGATTTCATGGATCTTGCTATGCGAATTAATTTCGAGCTGCGACACAAATTTGACCCTAGAAGAACATACTTATTATATATATATATATATATAGTGCATTTAAAATAAAGTATATTTGTCTTAGGCATACATTTAAATGGGCGTCTCATTTAGCTTAGGGCTTCTATTGGGAACTCTGCCAAAGATTTGATTGTTTATACTTAATTGGTGACATAAATTACTCTATATTCGCATCGTACTATTGTACGACATAATTTATATCTGTATTTTGTTTTTACAATTCTGTATTGTAAATGCTATTCTTTTATAATATCATTAGGAATTTGTTTTCTAATTAAACTGGTTGTTGCTACAAATGGAAAACTAAGTACAGCAATTCACTCAAATGAAATTACTTGAAATCATATATCGAGTATAAAAAACGTAAAAAATTTATTAAAATAATATACTGAAAATATAAATATATTAACAAATTTTAGATTTAAAGACATTTTACGGCAGTTTTCTTTTCTTTCGGTTTTTTTTTTTTTTTTTGACAATCAGTGAACATATTGATTTATTGAACGCTGCTTAATGACACCTTATATATTTTTAATTTAATTAAGTTATAACAAGTAAACCACTAAGTGATGTGTTTTTTTTTTTTTGTTTTTGTTTTTGGTGTTCCTATGTGTGTGTGTGTGTGTGTGTTGTATAAAAAAACCACACGTGCACTATACATACTCATAATATCGTGTGAAGTTCGCCTCAGCTGCTAAATAACTCTTTGAATGCCTTAGTTGCTTAGTTAACACTATAGTTATATATAGTTCAGTATGTGCATGCCATGGATCACAACACTGTCGAGATTTTTTACTTGCCCCATTGAAATGTTGCTAACAGTTATATAATCGTATCTATGCCTAAGCTCTTATCTTATGTCAGAGAGAGTATTTTATCTAGACTCATTTATCATTTCAGTTTTCTTTCATTTATACAATTTAATTGTAAATTATGATCTTTTTGCATTTGGTTTCTAATTTTAACTAATTTTTGTTTCTCTGCGTGCTATGTGTGCTGAATACGCCAAGGGTTTCGCTTTGAAGTACTGTCTATCATTTAAAGGTACCTAACTTACAATAGTTTTCGCCTCCTTCAGTTGCTTAAATGAGGAAGACCAAAGTAGCTAAAATGAAATTAAGAATACATTGAAGAGTTTGGAAATAAACAATCAGCTCAGTGAAGCCAATATTAGCTTGCCAAATAAAATACACATTATAAAAATAATTGACAGGCAAATCGTCGAGTTTAATAAAACATCAAAACACAGTTTTTGATCAAATATTCGAGTATACTGAAATCTTATAAACAAATTCTGATTCAAATCTCAGTGAATTAGTGAAACGAAGAAAATATTTAATTTAATTATTCTGAGTTCTGGCTATAAATCTGGCTATCAACCGCCTTATAATAAATCAAATTTTTCAATTAATATCTTAAGCCTGGAAGTTTGATTGCGATTTATTTGTGTACCTTTACAAAGAACATTCTAGGCAGTGATGATCGGCTGAAGGAAATATGTGTTAGTTAAAAACCCATCGCAGCTATTCCTATTCAATAAATCTTGCTCTTAAGTCTACGCACACACACATTCTCGTTATACTTTTACTCTTGAAGCGCTTAGAAAAGTTACGAACTTACAACTTAGTTTTAGTTCTCGTTTTCCCTGTTTGGCTCAATCCTGAATCCTGAATTCGCACTCACATACTTACTACGCACACTCACTACACTCCTCAGCAGCTTTAAAACCTCCATGCCAGATCTTGAACTGGTCCAACAATCTTCAGTTGCTCTATCTGCAGTTTCTGCTCTCGCTCCAGATCGTCTTCCTGTTCCTGCTCCTGTTCCTGCTCCTGCTCCTGTTCCTGCTCCGGTCAGGCAATGCTCAGGCCCTGCTCCATTTGCTCGTAGAAGCCACAGCCGGCGGCAACATATCACACGGTGGTTTCCCGGTCCACATGTATGTACTCGACCGGCTGTAGTGGATGTCAGGACGCCGGGTCGATGTAGAGCGCCTCCTTCTTGAAGTCCTTCTTCAGTGTGCCAATATTACAGGCAGCTGGCACCGTGCCATTGCCATTTGCACTATTCATGAAGCCACCACTTTTCTGGACCACCGATTTTTTCCGTTTGCGCATCAGGCCAAACATGCAGAATATCAGGCAGGCGGTCAAAGCGGCTGCAATGCAACCCAATGCCGCAAAGACGCCGCCGGGCAGCTCAAGCAGCTTGCGAGCGGTTCCGCACTCCTCCTCGGACTCATCGAAACCGCTGGGACAGTTGTGATGACCTGAAAATGCAGATAGCGCATAGCATTGATTGAAAAGAAATCTGCGGTCAGGTTACAGGTTCGCCTCGACGATGGCCAAGTTGAAAGACCCGCCAGCGAGTGTCATTTGAGTACTCCCTGGTTGCTGTTGAGCTGTTCGGCTTGCTGAGCTGCCTGGTTAGCTTGGTTAGCTTGTTTAATGCGCTCTCTTTTTGGTTAAGCAGCTCAGTTGCAGTCGCGCCTGGCTGCCCATAAATAATTGAAGCTAAAAGGCGAGTCCAGCCAGACATCCAGTCCAGTCCCTTCTCTCAAGTGCAGCACACTAAACCACTTGGCGGCAGCTGTTGCGAACGGACGGACGGACGAACGGACGGACGGACGGACGAACGGACGGACGGACGGAGGGACCAACGGACGGATGGATAAAACTTTTGTGGTAGATATACATATAGTTTTTGGGCGACTTTGGTGGACAAAACCCGCAGTAACTTGCAGCAGCTTTGTGCAGTTGTCAGAAGAAACTTTGCCTGATTACAAAAACGTGGCCAGCAGCTTGCAATGAAATTAACAGTGAAGCAACCACAAGTGAAATTTCTGTTGCCTACAAGCAGGCAACGGACGGACAGTTGGACAGACGAGGCAACAACAACAACACCAACTAGAAGTAAATCACGTATACGTAATGCGAGCGAGGGTTGGCCAAGTAGTTGGCAAAGAGCTCTACTTAAAATAATACGAAAGCTTAACATTTTCGTATTTCGTGCACTCAGAAAATAATCGCCATGAAATTTGTAAAATCGCTCTAAAAATTAAAGAGTTTTTCTTGTTTGTAGAAATAATTTCTAAAAATATGAAAAAAAAAATTGTTCATATTTTTGATTCGGTTTAAATTTAAGAAATAATTGATGAAATTTGCTTTGCATATAAAATGAAAAAAGACCCCATTGAAGATTTTCAAAAATTCAAGATGATTTTGTTCGGATTTAAAATTTATATGCTGTTTATGTACTCCTTTTCGCATTCCTGCAGATGACATTATAATTGTGTCACGTGCTGTTCACCTCTTTGATTCTGGATGAGATGGATAAGTCCGCTACTTGTGAGGCTACCCGTGCTTGGAATGTCTACTTGAGTTCTCAACTTACCATCACACCATAGACTGGCTGCTATGCATGCATCAATTTCAGGGCATTTGTACTCGCAATCCGACTCCTTGGGATAAAATCCAAATTCGTTCAGCGTTTCGTTGGCTGCTGCGCTGGGCGCAATGCCTCCAGTGCCAGCGACGCCAGCACTGCCAGTGCCCACAACTCCACCACCACCACTAGTACCAGCACCAGCACCAGCAGCACCACTGGATGGTGTGCCCATGCCCGTGGTTACGCTTGCATTCACATGCAGGTCCAATTGCTGCAGGAGTGCGTTCTTGGTACGATGTATCTCCAGCCACGTGAAGGCTATGTCACCGGGCTCCTTGAGTATGGGCTCCAGCACCAAGTTGATGGGCCTGCAAGCAAAGCGGAGTGAGACGTGTAAGCAAAACGGAAAGCAAAGTTAAGTTGTAAACATTTTCGGGTGTGCCCGCCTCTGATTCAAGTCAAGCAGCTGGTTGCCATGCTCCACATAACTTTGTGGCAAGTTTCGGGTAAGAAAGGAAGGAGAGTAAGGCAAGGATAACTCGACTCGAATATCTCTTTTGCTTTCAATTGCTCAAGTGCAACTAATTACGCGCAACTTTCAAGTAGCCATAGATAGAATACTCGTTTATTATTCACTTCGCTTCGAATGCATTTCAAATAAGCGGCAGCAAAACGAAGAAGATGGCGTAGATGATGATTTTGCCATTAACATTATAGCATTTAAGTAGTCTTAATGACTTCGAGTGCAAAATAAAGCGTTGCCAAAGCTGAAATAATATTAAAATTGAGTGCTCTAAGTGGCAAATAAGTTGGAGTTGTATCGCATCTGATATATGTACCCATAGCACTTAAGCATAGACCCCAACCAAATACTCACAATGACTTCTTAATATATTTATATTTTTCATACTCCGAGTACCCATTTACAATAGGTTAAATAAATATCATTAAGTTGTGTAAATGTAATCGGCAAAAGGAAGCATTCAGGAATGAAAAGTCTTTCTCAAAATCAACAAAATAAATGTGTGTCAAACGTAAAATAAACACATTAATTAATTTCGCAAGAATAATAATTTCTAATCCAATATTTCTGCTCAATATTAAAAGCCATTTCATGTTTCCCATCTTTTATTATTGGTAGCCAGACAAGAACGTAGCAACGATTAAAATTGAATTATCTGAGAATTCTGCAACATCAACAATTTGTAGCTTTTTGACATTTTCGATAATATACTGTGGCACTTAAATTTAATGGCTTCAACGACATGAACATGTGAGATTGCTCTTTCGGACATAAGTTGCACCCACAATACTTGTACAATTTAAATGGCTTCAATTTAATATATCTCCATGTCGGTTTTGGATGTGTTTTCTTTTTATATCCTTGTAGAGGGTATTATAATCCTGTTATGAGATGTGGCGTGTATTGAAAGAGACTTCTGCAAGCCAATAAAATATATATATTCCTAATCAGTATCACGCTGAACTCTCACATTTTATATGCTAATGGATTTTGGTAAATATTCATCTTCGGAGCACTGTTAAATAGCTGCCTTCGAATCAATCGGCTCAAAGTTGTGGGATCGAAATAGACGTAGACATAAATGTCACTCTTTGTGATACAGTATTACTACACAAAAGTGGAGCCTTCAAAAAAGTTCAAAGGCGCTCGTGAAATAGCAAATATCGAAGTAATATTTGTGCAAAACCTATGAAAATATAATGATATACTGAAGAGTGGACTAAAATTTAAATATCATAAGATTGAGTCCGATTTTCTCGGATATGCAATCTTCGGCTGGCCCAAGATAAACATTCTTACTTGTTCTTAGCTCTCAAATTAATTGCAATTTAACAACTTGACGTACTTTTAACGGTCATGCCAGCTCTCAATTTGTATGACTCTCTCACATTCGAGGTATTAAAGGTTCTTATGAGATCTATTTAAAAAAAAGCAAGCTGCTCAAAAATGCAATAACAGGAAATGGCAACACAACACAGGAAATTGAGCGCACGGATGGCAACAAAAAAAAACAACCATTGAAGAAAGCAAACATGGCCGTCAGACGTACACGCCCCTATGTAACAAACATACACAAAAAGATACTATGTTGAAAGCATGCAAAAATTGCTAGGAGGTGGACAGAGAAAGATTTAGAGAGAGAGGGACTAGCTCCATGTGAGGACTTCTGCTTGTTCCAGCAATTTATGTTCAAGGTGCGTGCCACGAGTATGAACTCCGTTTCGGTCAGTTCTGTGCTGCTGCTCTGACGGAACGTGTTGGCATTAAATTTTATGTGCAAGTGCAGCGCAAATTTGTCGTCAAATAAAAAGCACAAGCAAAAAGGAAAAAGCATATAAAACACACACATGGCTATGAGGAAGCATATTTTTATGGCACCCCAAAGGGTAATTGACAGTGTCCAGGATGTCGGGCCAGACAGTGTCAACTAATGAGCGTGTCGAGCCTTTTAGATAATTAATCGAGTGCCTTTCAGTTCACTCGGCTACAGCCAGAATGATATCCACTGAAAATTGCACCAAGACCTGAGTACTAAAAACATAACTTTTATAATCCAAGCACCAAGTTCCAATTAAATTACAATGAACTGCTTAACATTATTTTGACAAATTGTATTGTGAAATCGTTAAGTGATCTAAACACAAAAGAGCTTGAGCTCCGCAGAAAAATCGTGCATAAAAATTGGATTTAAATCTTAAAGCCCACCAAACTTTGATACTATATGATAATAATGTTAGTTGTTAATTTAAAAATGTATCAACTGAAATCTAATATTAAATGAAGTTCCAAAAAGTTTTTCGCGGGGACTTTGTACTTAATTGCAGTCTTTTTTTTTTACCTATTTATGATTTGTCGTTATTAAAGAATTTTACGCAAAAAAGTGCTTCAAAACTGGAAAAATCAAATTAGCTGGATTTCAATTTGGGTTGCACTTGACTTTGGAGCAGAGATTTTCTCTGAGTGTGGATATGATAAATGAGACTTTCAGCTGATGTCATTGGTATTTTTAGTCCATTTTACATACTTGTTCATAAATAACGGCTGTCCATTCGTCCAGTCCTCGGAGAATATGTGCAGTGATGTTGGCCTGGGACCGCTCTGGGCGGGGCAAACCACACGCATGGGCTTCAATGGCCTGCCCGAGTAGACCATTAGGCGGTTTTTGGTGTGGCACCGCATGGCGTCCTCGGAGGTGGGATCGACCGGCAGATAGGCACCCCAGGTTTGCACAAACAGCGAACGCTCCGGAGATTGCGCTTCAATGTACCAGGCGAGGCCCTCGCAGCTGGCGTCCTGTGGCTTGAGCGGGTATTTCAGTTCATCCTCGCCGCCGGCGCCCTTCAGCTTCAGCTGCTTCCGGCAGTCCGCCTGCCGCTTGAACTCATACGAGGCCGAGAAGAACACGTCGGCAAAGTCTTCCGAAATGTTGAGTCTGGTCACCGTAAAGCTCAGCTCCATGATTCGGGAATGCGATACAAATGTCAGCGGCGCATTGCTGTACAAGGCGCTGGAGTTGTCACAGAAGCAGCCCAGCTGTATTTTGACATCTCGGAAGGGCACATCGTAGAGGCGCAGCTCGGTGATGCGACCTTCGGGATCCAGTTGATTGCAGCGTGGTCGGCCCATGTGCAGATCCGAGTCCGTGGTGCAGGCGGTTCCTTCGCCAAACGACACATTGTGCAACACCAGCTTTACACGCTCCGAGGTGCCCGCTTCGAAGCGATAGAGGCAGGTGATGTTCTTGGCTCCGCCTCGGCCGTAGAGGAACACATTCCTCGGCACCTGAATGTTGCCCTTGCGTTTGCGAAAGACCCGTGAACAGAGCGGAGGCACTGGATCCTCGCCTCGCCTACCTGTCCAAGTTTCGCCGCCCTGTTCCGTGTCAACAAACTCATAGTTCAGTGCAAATTGGGCCGGAAATAGGGCGGTGCCTGTGTGCGTGTGGAATTCCAGTTTCTGCAAATACGAAAAGTAAAAATTACTCAAATTAGTGTGCGAAATGTACACTGAGAGGAAAAGTATGTAACTTTTTGATTTTGGATTTCAATTTCAATTCGAAAACATTGTCAATCCGTTAACGTGTTCTTTTTCTATATTACTTTAATGTATAATATCATTTAATCATAAAAGCAGGATATATATGAAAGTTGACATGTTTGCCACTGTCAGCATCTTCGAGAAATTCTGGTGAAATTGAAATCTACTATTATTAATTTCTATAAATCATTTTAAATGGATTTTGGTATTTTTAAGGTTCTTTATAAGAGTCGAGGCAGAATGTCTGTAATTAAAGTTACAGAGTTAATATCAACAATCAAGTGCACAATCGTTTATTTCTGATGGAATTATCTGTCCCTATAAGCAATATATATTATATATAAATAACGTCTCTATGTGAGGTTTCTAGTGGGGTTAGTTAGGACTTAGAACAGTGGTGGGTGAGGAATGACCCTCTCGTCCAAAAATATTGTCTGTAATTTTTGACAGTAGTGATTTATGAATTTTGTCTATTCTCCCTCAATCTTTATCGCCATCTCTCTTTCTTCCTTCTTAACGATTTACTCTCCTCTACTAACATTCAACAGTTTGTGTTCCGATTGGGTTTTCCCATCCATGCAATAGTTTTAATATCCGCAGATTCATTATTTCCTTTATTTTATTATTTTTATTTTAAAATTGTAATTTAATTATTCACTTTTAGTTTTATGTTATTTAATTTGTATCTTTAATTTTACATTATAATTATTAAAACCTTTTGTTTGAAAATGTGGAATCTACACTTAATAAATAAATTAAAAAAATCCCCAACTTGGCTCTTCGTCTGGCACAGACGCCAACGAGTATTTATTCAAAATTTCAAGGAGCCGATATAAGTTGTGTTCATACAGCAAGTGAGTGGGGATTGGCATATTGCATAAGAGCTCCTCCATAAAAAGTTGAAATTTTTACAGCAGATTCCTTTTGGGACATAAGCGAGTATTATATCCGATCCTATTTGATTGGATTTGGTGGACACTCATTCTTATACATTTAAAATTCGATAAGAATAATATTCATCAGTACTTTTATAGACTTTCTTTCGATGAGGCTTGCCCTTGTCGAGAGTGTTAAAGTTTTGTCGATAAATGTGTCCAGAAACAATTTATACATATTATCGATCAGAAAAGTAGTCTGTGAAAAAATGTGTTATAAAATTCAAAAACTCTGCATGACCCGAAAATATCTGATCTACATAGTTGGAAACATAAAATGTAATTGTTCGAAGGCGACGGTTTCTTCCAAATATTTTTATGTGTTCTATCTGTGACTCAAAATCTTGATTTCTTAATTCTAACCAGCTTTTTCTTGTTAGTGTAGGGGACGCAGCTTCAATTTGGCGTCAAAATATTTGCAGTTCATATTTGCGCCATTTAAAAAGGCTAAGCAAGCTTATATTGCGGTCCCCTCTATTTACTAGGCCCGCTGTCAGTACCCAGTACCCAGTACCCAGTATCCAGTACCCACTATTCAGCGCTCACTCCGCTCTCCCTTTCTGCCTCCTAGAAGAGTCGGCTTTGTGTGTACTTTGGTGAATTTGAAATTGCCGAGAGGCAAAGAAGTTGCCGCGGGTGACTCTGCAGCTTCACTGGATTCGTTGGCTTCGTTTGCCGCATGCCGCTTGCCGCTTGCCGCTTGCCGTTTGGCGTTTGTCGTTATTTGTGCACGTCTGGCGATGCACTCGAGTGTTTAATTTGATTAATTTTGTCAAGCTTAAAGCAAATACAAGTTTGCACAGTGCCAAATTTGTTGGCTCGGTTTGCTGCCAGGTAATTGTTAAGGCAGCCAAATTGAGGACAACTTGCAGCACTGGGAGCTGGTGCAGGAGACTGTTTGCACAAAAATAAACGAATCGGTGATTTTGTTATGTTTTCAACAAATTGTACTTTTTTCCACCTCGTAAACAATTAAATTTTCAAGTTAACGCCTGAAAGCAGGCAGCATTATATCGTCATGTTGTATTCGTGTACCAGAAATTATTGCATAGTTTTGGCAAACAATTCAATTTCTAAAGACTGTCTTGCACTCGCTGGCAATGTTGCCATATGTTTACTTATTTAATGCCAAGCGACGTGTGGTGTATGTAATTTCTAGTGGCAACGATGTAGCCGGTCAACAAACTGGCAAGACGTGTTTGTACACACGGGCATGAGTTTTCATTCAGTCTAAATTCGTTATACTATTATCTTCGCTTGAAATGAGACTTCAACTCACAGCTGCGACTGTATTTTGTTATGAATGTGAAAGTCAAGAAACATAAACAAATGAGAAATACAAGTAATTTGGTGGGAAAATGCATGGATTACAATGGATTTTATGCAACTTTGCATTCGCAATTGGATTAGCTTTAATTAGATCAAATATATATATATATATATATACTCGTATGTATAGCAAATGGTTTAGGTACTTGACGACTTCTTATTGGTGATCTTAACCCAACGCTTCACAAACTCGACTCCATCATTTCGCTTTTCTTCTAGGACTCTTCTTCTACGACTAATGCTAATGCAGCTGTTAGATCTGTTCACCAGCGTTGCCACCCGACAGCACACAGTAACTACTCGTTACATATTTATAAATATAAATATAATAAATAAAAATCTGTATTCTCCGGCAAGGCCTTTGTCACGTCGTGCTTACACGTGTCCGGCAGCCCTAATGTCGAATATTCTACTAATATATTGTCAGCACGTGTGAGCCCACCTTCAGACTGACAATTAACGAGAACAGACGGGTTGTTGCCAGATGTTGCTCTTTAGGTTTCTTATCATTGTGTTTGAGATACATATATATTATTACTCAGGTAATACCTATAGTGGGTGACTCCTAAAATGGCTAAGCAAATAGCTATAATCAAAAAAGTGTGATTTGGACAACTATTCCATTTAGTTTTTTATTATTCAAAAAAGAAATTTGTTCTTTTAAGCGTCTTGTTTCTTTGTTAGTGACTAAGCTAACCTTTAAAATTTATTGGTCCTTGGTCAGCTGAATAAGTAAATAAATTCGGGTAACTTACCAAATCCCTGCCGGTGCTCACATAACTCTCTAGTGGGCTACAGGGTCGCTGCTTGTTGCCACCCATAAGGGCGCTGCTGCCGCTGACTCCACTGCCGATAGCCGTGTGATCGCACAACTTGGGCGTCTCGTAGTCGTAGATCTCCAGCATTAGACGCCGCTTGCCCTTGGTGCTCATCAGGGAAACGGCGCTTTGGCTGTTCTTGTCGGAGCTCAAGACGGCAGCAGCTGAGGCTCCTCCTCCTCCTTCGCGTCCAGACTTGCTGCCGGAAATATAGTTGAGGCTATCCTTAATGCCGCCCAGCTGTTTGCCAGCAGCTCCGCCGGCAGCAGCTGCAGCCGCACTGCCCTGATAGCCGCTGTACTTGTTCTCCTGATTGAAGATGCTCGACTGGGTGGGTCCGTAGATGTAGGTGTCGACCGGATTCCAGGCATTGTCAATGTTGACGCGCAAGTTTCGATTCAGTTTCGGATTGCTGGCACTGTAGTAGTAGCTGCCATAATTGCTTTGGTTCAGCAGCGTGGGTTTACCCCCATCAGCCGACGAGGCAACCGGTGGAGGAGGCGGCGGCTGTCCCGTAGTCACGCTAGTCGACTTGATGGGCAGATAGGTGCCGTAGCTGTCCCACATGCGCAGACGTGTAATCCAAGGCGGCAGATCGCTCTGCAATGCAAACAGAATGTATGTAGTTAAGGCATACACAGGTTATTGTTTAATTCCGTAGTAGTTGACATTATTTTCGTTTGTTGCAGATAAACAACACCCAACATTAACCAACCAAGCCCTGCCCATTAAAAGTAACGCAGTCTCTTCTAACTTTTTTCCTTCTTTGTCTTAATATATGTTTTCATGGTCTGCCTTGTCACTCTCCCCATGTATATATATATATCTCTCTCTCTCTCTCTCTCTACATCTCTCCCTCTCGTTATTTGTTGTTTGCCTGTCTTGTTGTGCCAACATTCCCCACTCCTCTGTCTCCTGCCCCTTGGCAACATCTGTGTCATATGTCACATATTCAAACAGCGGCAATGAGAGTCACTTGCAAGTGTGAGATATTTGTCTTTTCACGTTTTGTCACTGCTGCCGTTATGTTTTCGTGTTGTTTTTGTCTGTTTCCTCTCTCTTTCTATAGTTCTCTCCCTATCTTTCTCACTAGCGGCTTCATCATCCTTAACATGCTGTTTGCAGACATTAAATATTTTTACTAGACCCTGTTTGAAATGTTTTTCATCTCGTGTCTAGTCAGTGATTATTGTTGACTGTGTTAATAATGAAAAGACATTTCTAAACAGCTGTGGCTTCTGTAAGGCAGGAGAAAGCCACGCAGAAGTCGTTTTAGATAAAACTCCTTGGACTGTTTGGCTTCATGATTGTCATCTTCTTTTCTCCGCCTGCAACACCATCATTACAAGCTCATTACTGTTAGTAGATCTTTATACATTGCAAGAATGGTATTGGGATGCCACACTAGCTGATTTGCTATTCGATAACTTCTCGATATACCTCCAAAAGCAAATCCCTTGGAGCATCAGCAATAATATAAAATATATTCATTCAAGAACTTTAGCAAATTGAAGGTTATTCAATCCTTATTCCTTCTTCCCTCCGTCTGCTCCTGTCTACATCACCCAGTTGGCTCCAAGGCATATGGCGTTACATTGCCAACTTTTACAGTGCGAAGCGTCCTGCTTAATGAAGACAGTTTTAATGTCTTTGTTGGTACAACGCACACTAAGCCGGCTGCTAATAGAATCACCTTTGCTGCCTATCATCAACTCCTATGGAAAGTCAGCAATTAGGCGCACTCATCAAATAGGCTTTCCTGTCTTAGATTCACAGATAGAGATCGCCTCGAAGGAACTACAGGCGCTTAGAAGCCAACCAGCAACCAACCAGTTCCAGAATATATATAAGCCAGATTATTGTGTTTTCTTATTCATTTTATTTCAGCGTGTAATTTGGTTGCATAATGTCTTTTCTTGCGCTGCTGTGTTTCTTTATTCCTTTTGTACATAATTCCTGAAATCACAGCACTCGCTGACCCTCTAAGAACAATTTTAAAATTCCTCACATACTAGCAGTCTCAACCACATGTCAGCTTCAAGCAAACTTGTTAAGCTGTTAAGTGACTTTAAATTGGAGTTTTTGTAAGCCTGTCTTATTGTCGACCCCCCGTCTCGTTGGGGTGGATCTGGCATTGCCTTCACGCAGTTCATCAAGTGAGTTTTCCCGCGAATTGTCCTCACTGTTTGCGGTTCTCATAAATGTCATGGTGTTCTTTCCAAAGCTCTATTTTTACCAAATATATGAGAGTATATTGTGTTTATTCAATGTCCGTCTGAATGTCTGCCTGACAGATTGATTTGCCAAGGATGCTGGGTATTCTGGCTTGAGCTGTAAATCGATAAGAGCTATTCTTTTACCGCCGTCAAAAATCGATACAGCATTTCTGCTAAGACTAAAGTACTCAAAATTTGGCAGATAAATAAATAATAAACTTATTTAAAGGTTAACACAAATGTTTTCACTTTCATTACACAGCTAGGGTATTATGCAGTCGACTTAGTCCGAGCTTAAATTTCTTGTTCTGAAATCTCTTATTGATGTGTCTCATGCTGTTTTTATATTGCTGTTTCTTTCTCTTTTCCATGTTTTTTGTTGGGAGTTTTAACTTTGCTGCTTAATTTAAAAAGTTTTCTAGCATTTTTTTGTGCAAATTTTCTACAATTTTGCTCCTGTTGCCGTACATCAAATGAAAGCACCCACGTACAAACCGTGGCCCCTTCTCCCTGTGCTGCTTACCAAGTGTTGATTGTCGTTGTTTTCGCTTTGTTGTTGCTATTGTTGCTGTTGTTGCTGTTGTTATATGTACCTGATGTTTGTTTTTGTCGCTTTGCTGCTGTTACAAAATTCATGAACTGTTTTTGCTTCTGCTGATGCCCCTGTTTTATTTTACACATATTTTTGTTCTGTCACTTTTTATTGTGGCACTGGTCACGTGGTGGGAGAAGTTGGGTGCGGGCGGCTAAGCGAGCGACACCGAAGCGGAAGGGGAAGGGGCAGTATCTGTGCAGTTGTTGCAACACTGCTGCCAGCTTTTCATTTTTTACAATTTAAAGTGAAGGTGAGGTAACTGCAATTGACACGGACACTGCATCCAGCAGCGACTGACAGACAGACAGACAGACAGACAGACAGACAGACAGACAGACAAACAGATGGAAGCGCTTATTGTCGCCAACTCTGGGAGAGGAAGTAGGCGACTTCCTGAGCTTCTCTTGCCGTACAAGTAAGTCCGGCTGATGAGCTCTTATTCCGTTCAGGTGGCAGTGCTCTTCATTGCGATTTTCCAAATTAATTGGCACTAAATACGTGTGCTGATAATATTTCAAGTGGCCGTAAAGTCTGTGTCTTAAATAAATTAGTGCCACATCCATTTGTGTCTAGACAGAAAAAGACCTTGGAAAAGTTGGGCGACTTGCGGCAATTTATAAGTCAAGACATCCAGCAAAAGTAAGCTTAACAGATGTGAGCACATATGACAAGGGGAAAGGAGGTGCTAACGATAAAAGCAGCAACTCAATTTCAAACACGAACTTTGCTTGATCACTTAAATGTCTTGTGGCTTGTCACGCTTGAAAGTCGACAGGTTTAGCACTGCTCAGAAAATTTGTCAAGTAATGGTACGCTGCTGTTGAAAGCAAACACTGGTAAAAATGTAAAAGTTGATATTTTTAGATGAAACAGTTGTCCCAAATGGACTGACTGACTGACTGACTGATTGGTGACTGGTGACTAAAGTGCATCCTAATGAATCTATCCTCTACGTGGAAAACATGTGATATAGATTGTATGGCTAAAATGAAGTATATTATTATGGACAGACTGGACAAAATGTAATTTAATAATTAATTCAAATTAGCAGACTCTAATATTTCTGAAGTTAGTAATCAATTTGTTGCAAAGCTGCGAACTTTAAAAGGACAACTGAAAGTGAAAGTAAGAATATCAGAAGCAATCATCTGAATCGATAACTTCTTCGCAGTGTATAATCCTTTCTAGTTGAGTCATGATTCATATTCATATTCAACAATTCAAGCTGTCGGAAAACAGAGCACCATTAAAAACTGAGTGTTATTTGGTCTAGAAAGTATTTTTACTACTTATTGCGCATAACTACTCCAGCCGTGTGCTTTGTTTCCCCAGTCCCCAGTCGGCTGTCCCTCCCCCGCGCACCGCACTCTGCTCCAGCCAGTCGTATAATGCATGCATGCTAACCGTTTTCACTTGCAGTCAGAGCCACCTTGACACAATTTACAGGCCGTTAGACAGCGAACAGTGCATATTAAAAATGCTCACGACGGCAGAATGACAGATGGTGTTGGCTTTGTTAATGTTGCTGTCCCTACGCGCCTTAGTTGTTTTAGCTTAGTTCATATTGTTGCTGCTTGCGTCGCATTTTGACGCAGTTTCATTTCGCCTTTGGGTAAACTTAAGACTTTCAGCATAAAGCGAATGTCGAAATCCTTTGGCCACATTCCTCATCCTCGCAGCTCAGAGCCTTTACTTAATTATAAACTGCTTGTGTACTCTTGCGGAGAGTATTAAAATTGTGCCGTAAAGTGTCTAATTGAAGGAGACATCTCCGACAACTTTAATAAGAGTCTTGGCCGTCGGCTCTTTTCTTCGGTTTGAACTTACCTAAAAACTTGTAATCTATTTGTATGTACGAGTCAGATTGTTCCATTATTTATAACTAATTAAATTTACATCCGTGCATCTTCTGCAAGGGTATGACGTCTTCGGCGTTGTTTCTTGGTGTGTGTCTGCATTTGCCATTGTCAGTTCAGTCACAAACACGGCAATATTTTAATTGGGTGCGAAGACAAAGTGTCGCTCGACTGGCACTAATAGCATATATAGAAATCAAGACAATAGTCAAGTGAATTTGCCGCTGGGGTAGAGCGCGATGTGTTTAAACGTACAATGCAAACAACTCGGATACTTCAGCTCCTGCAGCTCTTATAAAGCCCCCCTCCCACACACACTACCTAGACTTATATTTTATGCAGTTTTGCAAACTGTGACTGGCCTAGTACCAGAATGAGAGCCACAACCAGAACCAGAACCAGAGCCAGAACCAGAGCCAGAACCAGCAGCAACCCCAATCTCGATTTGGGGCTGCCTCAAACGTTTCCACTCACCCGTCCAAGCGTATTGTTATCGTGTATCGCCTGCTGCAGTATCTGCAGATTGTAGCTGGTGAACGATAACCAAATCAGGTCACCAGGATATCCGTGAAAGTGGTACGTGCACGTTGTGTTCGGCGGAAGCGTGTGACGCGGGCTCACAATGCGTCCCATGCGGCCGCGACGTGAGAATAGCACGTCATCTGCAAAGGAGAGACAGAAAGATAGACAGATGTAGAGAGTGGGAGCGTGATAAACAGAGATTATGATATGCACATGTGTGTATATGTGCTCTGCATAAGTGTGTATACCATATAAGTGTACATGCACATGTGCATATCCATATACCTATATATATATATATATATATATATGTGTGTGTGTGTGTGTGTGTTGTGCGGTTTATACTGTCAACTCACGGCCGTTGCTCGTCGTTTTTTTTAATATGCTCCAAGTACGTTGTATGACAAGCGGCTTACATGTGATTTAGGTTAATTTACACTGTGCTCTCAGATGATTTTTGTATTAAGTTTTCCCCTCATATGCTCGTTATAAAAAATACACTTTGCAAGTATCCATATGTTGTGCACATAATGGTTATAAAAAGGCAATACACGTGATAGGATTGATTTCTTATCAAGATAATATCATCAGCAAAATACTTGAGTGAATTCACATTCGAAGGATGATTAGAATTTCAATTTTAAATTGTATCACGGTCTGCACTGAACATATATATATATATATACATATATATATATTATATTTATATATATGTATATATATTAAAATATATTAAAATGCATATACAATTTATGTTTTTTGACCAAAAAGAAAACATGTATGTATAAAAAAATGTATTCTTGAATATTAAAACATTCTTATGGCTAACAGAAGCTTGCAGTGACATTTTCTGCTCACACTATTGAGTTTTTAAGGTGCCATTACAATAGTGTCAATAGTGCTGCATGCAACATGCAAGACTTTCATGAATGTGTCTACTTTACTACAAAGAAGCAACGTTGGACAAGTTACGGCTGTCATCTGCTCAATATTGCAGTTGCAACACTTGACTGTACTTAAAGGTGACCGAGAGGCAACACGAAAATACGCAAGCAAGTAAACAACAGCCGGAGGACAACTTTGGCAACTTTTGCTTCAAGTGACAAATTAAAAACGGCAAAGAGGGAAAATCGAAACAAGCCAAAAAGCTGAAGCAGACCGCGATTCAATTGCTAAAAGTCGCACGATTTATTGCAAGGCGGTACACAGACAAGAGAGAAACAAAGACAGAGAGAGAGAGAGAGAGAGAGAGAGAGAGAGAGAGAGAGACTTCGAGTGGATGTGTCAAAGTGGGTGGTTGAGTGCTGCTCTCTATAAAGGAAGCAAATGTCAACAGTATCGATGATAACACCTGTGCCGAGACCGTCACTCTAACTCTGACGACAGCTTTTCAACTTCAAGTTGATGTAGCGCCAAAGAGTTTTGATGTGCCGCATCGAGTGGCAGCACTGAGACGGCAAACGTTGCAGCTGCCACACGGGCAAAAGTTGCCAGCTGGACTGAGACTGAGTAAAGTGAACGAAATGTTAGAATTGAGTTCATCGTAGACTCCAGACTTGTGTGCCTCGACGTTGCGAGTGTTTCCGCCTCATGCCACAGAGCTAATACATTTTTATGAGCTTTTTATTGCCCCATTCCGCTGGTTGCGCACCATTCCTGCTCATAAAGCCATTGCGAAAGGCCTCTTAAGACTACTTTAAGCCCTGTGTCCTACAATTTAAAAGCCAAATTGTGGCACATTGTCAGCAACTATAAGAAATGGACTTTTATGCATTAAGAGAATTTTTATATATACAAATCAATTAAAATGAATAAAAAATTAGATAACGTTTATAATTTCAATATTTTCAAATAATAGTAATTATTTCATTGTTCAATATCGACTGATATCAGTTGACAGAGTACAAATATAAAATAAAATACAAATAGATTAAAATTAAAATTTAAAATTAGATTAATAAAAATTAAAATTGAATTTAAAGCTTCTGACGGTATTTGACTGAAAAAATGTCTCTAAATTTTGTTTAATGGTTAAAACCCAAAACAACCCAATCAGACTAAGGCAAAAAAGAGTATGCATTAGTTGAGATGTCGAATTTACTTATTACACTCTCCACAAAAAATTATCTAACATAAAACATAACTTTGAATGATGAATAAATAAAATCAAAATCTCTGCTCCGCGCAATAGTTGGAAATGATAAATTTGAACAGTTTAGGATGCGACTTTAATCTGTCGATATTTCTGTGCCATGCATATTTTTCGGCTTGCATTGCCGAGGATTATGGTAATTTTTATTTTTAAATACGCTTGACAGATAAAATATGCGCTGTGCCTATTAAGAGATGGGCCCGATATGCATTTTAAGTATGGATCCATTCATTCACTCGGGCTGCCGTTTTGCGATGACTAATTGTTTGAATACATTAAAACTAATGTAAACAACAACAAAAGTTTGACTTCATATAGACATCAATATATGTAATATATACATAGCATTAGATAAGTCGACATGTGTGGATTGTTGCCAGAGGACAATTGTGTTTAATTTGCACAGTGGTCAAAAGCAAATCGAAAAATAACAAAAACATAACAAGCAATCAAGGAGCATGGCCCAAACCAAACGGAACGTCAGTCAATCAAGCCATGGGGGAGACTCAACCTCGAATTGGCACACCATCTAAGGGTCCGTATAACCCCACAAATACACGCCCCACCACTCGGGCTACCACACAATCAATAAAACTAACGCCCCATAATTTAATGCCCAAATGCGTTGCGTACACAATTGCGACTACATTTTGTGGTCGAGGCCGCAAAACCCAAATGCACTCTAATAATAAATCGCAAAAATAACAGTTTTATTGCCACGCATGCGGTTCGCCAGCGAGAACTACCTCGATGCTAGAGCCGTAACATGGCGCAACCCAACTATTCTCCGGCTCGCCATCAAGTGCGTGGCTCGATAGTTGAATCGCACATTAAAGCATGCTGATAAACATATTATTATTATTGCTACTGTTACTATTACGGCACAGGTGCTACACCGACTCCGACTCCGACTCCGGCTCCGGCTCTAGACTAATGTTCTAACTGCTCCTGCTTCGGCGCCGCCCCCGATTCTGATTGTGGAATTGTTGAATTATTTCCGAGCCCTCCATTGTTGTGTTGGTCGGCAAAGGCGTAGCCGCAATTTCGTATGACATCTAAATTTATTACAGCCCCTGCAGCTGCGATCGAAACTTTACCAACACCCAAACCCACGCATGTGTGGGTAGGTGTAGATGTAGGTGTAGCTGTCGGTGTAGTTGTCCCTGTGTGTGCGTAATGTAAATTCAGTTGTGCCCTAGCGTTAACTAATTCACAATGATTACATTTCGCATGTGCCACGCAAGATGGAAGTAGGGAACACTGCGAATGCTTTTGGATCACAACACTTTTCAATGGATGTGTTCAGTTGACGTTGACAGTTTCCGAAATCGATATACTTGATGATGTCAACATATCTCACACAATTTGAAAGCTAGTCACCAAATTCAATTTTACTCTTCAAAAGGCGTAAAACAACTTTCGGACCACGCCCACTCCCAAAGTGTATATCTGCCACAATTTAGTAACATAAGATACCAAATGGATCAATAATATGCCTTATAAGAAATGAATAAAAACAAATATATAAGTTTTCGGGCTTATACACAAACGGAGTCAATTGTATATAGATGATGTTTATAAACATATATGTTATATATACACATAGATATATATGTATATATATTTTGTGGGTGCCTGTGAGTAATTATGTATTTTATTATTGTTGGGCAACCAAACTTCAATTAATATCCTGCTGCATTTGGTTACGGCGATAACCAATCCGGTTGATTTATTTCTGAGTCGGGCAATAATTGGGCCAGAAATAGTCTTCAGCTTTAGTTAGCAGCAGCTCCCTAATTGCAAACGTTTTGTTTTCGCAGCAACTAGATTGCCAATGTCTGCCTTTTTATTAGCTGTATCTTGACTATATTCGATTATGTGCAGAAAGTTGTCGTTGTGGTAGCTGCTGTGACTTTCTTGGATCTGGGCACATAATTGAATCGCTGACTGGCTAATAATGCGTGGTTAGATTGGCTTTTAGAAAGCACATTTAACAAACTAGCTTCGAACATTAATGCAGCAAATAATTTGAATATTTACCCAAAAAAATATACTTTTGTATATCTGCAAATAATATTGCACAAAGTTAATAACCATCAATGGACACAAAAACAAAACGTATCCAAGAGACAAATTTATGTTTAAATATTTATGCTACACAAATGCGCACACGTTCATGCACACACAAATAAAATGATGTCGTTGTGTGCAAATATGCTAATTTGCTGTTTGCACATCACATCCCAAACATTGACATTGTCTATGCCATTCACCCACCAGCCAACCAACCCATCACCCATCAGCCAACGTCCACGTCCACGCCCACGCCCACGCCCATCGATTGGTCCTGGTTATTTTCTATTGCCGCTCCGCCGGATACTCGTTCTATGCATTTCGCCGCTGATTGCAAACAAAATTGCAACTCAATAAACAAACTAAACAACAAATACATGCACATATTCACTGTCTGGCCCATTCAGCCCGACCACCGCACACGGCCCCCTTGTGCCCCACCATTGTCTGTCAAATCAGCCAGCCAATGACCTCATTTGAATGCATCCGCTGCCATTGTGGTTCGATTTTATGACAAAATTCTAATGAAGAGACTTCTCCCCAGTTCATCCGGATTCTGATTGTTCGTGGTATATTTAAGGGAACTACATTTTTATATTACGAATGTGAGTGTAATTTAAGATAATTAAGTTAATTACCTTCCATTTTTAAGTTTGAATATATAAATGCATACTTTCCATTTATTAATTTAAATATGAATTTAAATTAATTTTATATGTATATATTTAATTTACAAGATTATTGATTTTTTTTAAAGTTGTTAATTTTAAATGTATAATTCCTTTGTTGAGTTTTTATTTTATGAACTTTTAATAGTTCTTCCTTCTTCACTATCGCTATTTTGAGACAATAGATTTACATAGATATATATATACAAATATATATATTAGTATATACATAAGTATGCTATATTGG